GGTTCAGTGCACCCATAGGCCGCGCGGCGCTCATAATAATATTATCAATTTCAAGGGATCGTACAATCGTTGCCAAAAAAAAAATAAGGTGGTTACTTTTCGCTCTTTCTTCTTTTGCTTTTAACTTTGAAGATAGGAAAATCTACATAATTTATGTCCGCTTGGGCATTATAAAGACGACAAAAGGGGGAGGATCTAGGAGGTGAACAAGCCGCATGAAAAAGTATGAGATGGAATTATAATTAATTTGCTTGTAATATCCCAGGCAATTGACCCCCCCAGCAATTAACACATTTCTAAAAAATATGTATTTAAAGTTGTTTCTTTCTTATAATTGTATGTTCATATGGTCTTGGTTTTTTTTTATTTTGGTGTATTTGCTTTTTGTGTCTGTGTTTGTTGAAATCTTGCAAATTGCGGGGCATCAGCTAGGGTCCAACATCACAAATTTGGGTCATGTCACAAAAGATATATTGCAAAGAGAAAAACACCTACACCCTGATTTGAATAAATAAATATGTGTGCAAAATGAACTAAGTTTATTTCATAATGGAATATGATCAAAAGTACAAAAGCAGGAGGTAGCAATGGCAATGAGGAGGGACAGGTTACGGTAGGAAGGACTCTACAAGTGTGGGGCTATGAAAATACAACTGTCCGAGGGACGGAGAGGGATACCCCCTCCAGTTGCCTTTAAGTCATGGCCACATCACAAAATGTCACCTTCTGACAAGTTACACCAATAATTTGATCAAAAATACAGAATCTAACAAAAACCACCTGATTGACAGGAATCACATAAGATATAAAGCACGATGGTACATACTTTTTGAAAGACTTCTGGAAAGTGATTTCCCTTCACTTATAAAAATAGATATTCAGTCATTTCTAGTTATTCATACCATTTAACATCACAGGCTTAAAGAAATGTCAAATTATACGAGGAAACATGCAAAATAACCTTGAAAAATTCCCTGTAAGTTGCAAAGAAATGTAGTAACATCTGTAATCCAAACCTAATGAATATACCCAATATTAAATTTACCTTAAACTCCCTGCCTTAAGTTGACGTTTTTGACATATACAATCGAATAATTCACTGATTAGTCAACCAGTTAAATCAAATATTCAAATGATCACTGACCTAACAATTGATTAAAGTAAAAAAATCCACAGGACACAATCAAGTTGTTTCACAACAGTAATCTGAATATCAAAACCACAGCATACAAAAAACTACACTTATCAACAACAGATATTAATAACGATACAAAGCAGGATTGTGCAGAGTTATACTTCTTGACTGACTTGTGAAAATTAAAACAAAAAATTCCCTTCCTCAAATCACAAATTTTTTTATCCTCTAGTGACACAAAAGACACAAATGACTTGACAGACGTTAAGTTATATAGAAGCAAGTCTCAGACTTACAAAAATGTTGATTTATGCTAGAACTCAATGTACACAGAACACAAACCTTAAAACTAACCTCACTTTAAAGTAACAGAGAAACACATTTTAGTACAATCTGCAATCCAAACCAAATTCACACATATCAATGTTAAAACCAACCTTCAATACCCTATTTGAAGTTACAGTTCAAGTAATGTATAGATTGCACAGTAAACCACGTTGTACATTAATTGTTCATCATTGACAGATCAATCAATCACTTGAGTCACTGACCTCAGTACAAGTTCAAGCTCACTTTTCCAGCAATCAGTTAGTAATTTAACAAAATAAGCTACTAAAGGTTTTATGCACTGCCCTTCTAATAAACTTTGAAATGCCGCTTAGTTTCCATTGGCGAGGCCTTTATCATTACCACCCCCCCAGGGTTGACTGTGACTGACAAAGGGTCTGTTGGCCCCAACACACCCAAGTCCCTGTGCTTGAACAGGTCCCGAACGCTGTAGGCAGACCCGGAAAAACCAAGACCTTTCATGGATGTTGTGAAGTTCTGTGGCATGTTGGTGGCTCGTCTTAGAATGACAGTGGCGTAGCAACCCTTGTCCAGCTCTTTCGTCCAAACCTGGAAGCTGCCACGCTGGCGACAAATTTATAGAGAAAAATGAGAACAAACTAGACAACAACAGTATTCACATGCTCAGAACAAGCTATTTGTTTTGCTTCAGAAGTGAAACTTGATGCAAATGCAAACTTACGTAGTGCTTTAAATGGACTTCCTAGAATTTTCTCACATAATCTGTGCAAATATTTACGCATGTTATATAGCGACCCTTCTTAAAGCTCATTTTTCAGACACTTCCGCGATATATAGGAAATTTCAGATCAATATGGCGATCCACAATGTGTCTTTCTTACAGTGTATGATGGAAAACGGATGACAAATTCTACTCACAGCTGTGCAGTGCACAGGCAACTGAAGTTGTTCACAATGTTTGTTTGTCTGGGTAGAAGATTCATAATTGTTTTATTGAACATCAGTGTTGATTAATATGGTGCTTTCTTGTGAGGCACAGAGTTCTCCTGATCTATCAATCATTTCCTAGAGTTGTCTGCGAACGGCGGCAAGTCAGCCGTACTTGTGTCGACTGTTAACTTGAAAGAAATGCCATCTATCTTTATGGCAACCACTTAATAGTGTACTGTATTTCGAATCGCCCATGTTTGGGTCATAAGAAACGAATGCATATTTAATTCCTTCCCATTCTCTTAGAAAAACCATTCATTACAAACCTACGGTAAGCGGCAGTATGGAGATAAATGTAAAATGAAATTTGGCTGTCCCGAGATTGAATGAAATCCAATGCAATTTGGTTTCTCACATTGTAGATCCTCCTGCCCATCTTGCCCAGTTGATCCTGGTTGACGGCAATGACCTCATAATTCAGAAGAATCTCCTTCATTTTGGGGTCCATCTTGCGGAGGTCACTGGACATGATGAGCTGAGATGACATGATGGACCACAGCGCCATCTGAGACTGTGCTTGCTCAAAGCTCAGAGAGAAGTCTCCGACCACCAACTTGGACAAAGAAAATAACTTCTGTCAATTTAAGGGCAAGTTTGATGGACAATTAACTTGACAACCAAAACCACCCAAATGATGGATGATTTGGCCCATCTGGTCGACCATTTGGAACCAAGCCTGGGGGCAGGGTTGTATTGATGGTTAGCCAATTTCAATTATCAGTATGGAGGGGACCATTCACATTAAAATATTGTATGAGATGTCACTGACCATGTGAGCCCCAAGAGTTGCAACCAACTGCAAAATGCAAACAATGAGATTTTGCAAACAGTTTGACCGGGGACACTCGAATATAACTGTATAGCAGTCCAAATATTATTCATATCTGAACCTGTCCTAAGCATATTCACAGAGGAAGGATTTTGAACTGCCCAGGTTATCATATCTGGCCGATTACCACTTTCTGGCATACCCGGCATGTCCATAGCCAGAGCACAGTGAGCGCTTGCTACACACCATCTGTTTCACAACCACAAAACCCCTTTGTACACTGTGATCACCGCCACATTTTTTCACTGGTAATCTGCATCCTTAAAACTTTGTGTACTGAGGGATAGGAAATTGAATATTCATGCATTTGTTGGTGCTTGGTATGATCTCATAACAACATCAAATGTAATGCTTGTGCAGTTGCTTGCATTACGCTGTGTGCCCTAAATATACATGTGTGGTCACTGCCCTTAATGAACGCTTTCATCAGGAGTTACTTTGGGAATTAATTGCCCAATTGTTTACAAGATGTTTTGTTTTGGCTGAATCATTTCTATTATGGCATTTGTACAAATGCATAATTTACAAGATTTCATGATCACTCCCTGTGATGAAATAGCTCATTTTGTTCCTTATGAACTTAGTTTTCCAGTTGTAGTCAACATTTTGTTGGCCAGTCTTAGCCAAATTTGTACCACTTCTTTGGAAACTGATGTATTGGAGGGAAGCGAACAGAATTACAAACTTTGCATGCATAAGGAAACAGTGTATCAAAGTAAAAAGAGTTAATTCACGATGGCAAAAGTAGGTCTATTATCAGGGATTTCTCTGTCTCTATTTCCTAGTGACAGCAGCAATTGGTATTTAATTGCAAGCCAAAAACTACAAGTATCGCTAGGATATTACTGGACTTGCTTGCCCAGCTGAGATGCAGGCAGTAATCAGGCATTTTTGGAGTGTTTTCTGTTATTCTTCCGACTCTGCAGCAACGATCACTGAACACTTTAAAGTGCCCGAGTTTTAACTCCTGTGTCCTCTATGGCATATCTAACTTCATATCACTGAGTAGTAGGCATTTAAGGGTTACCTTGTAACTTCAAATGACAAGAATCGGACAGACAACAGTATCCTTCAGTTTAACCTTAATCACTTTTTTCATCACTTTCTGAACCCTCTTTGAATAACAATTTTTTAACAATTTTTTTAACAATATGCAGAAATGTAACGGCACATTCCCTTTTCTTTTATTTGGACATTAAATTTTATTAGTGTAGTCGCTTTTTCTCGACCATTTTCTGCAAAAAGTTTTGCCATGCAATTTTGAAGTTTGACTTTCTTGTTGTTGTTGATGAACGGCTATTTCGTAAAAATATTGTCCTTAGAACTTTTACAGAGGAACTGGAAGAGAAAAAGCGAAGCTGATATTCCAAAATACTTACAAAGTCCATGTCGATGAATGAGCCAGGCCCGTTGACCTTGTAAAAGTCATCTTGTTTGGAGACGTACCAATCCAAAACAGACAGCATTTCTACCCACGAGTCTTGGATGTCTAAATAATTCCTCATCGTGTTGCAATGTCTGGCAATATCTGTATAATTTGGCTGCTCGCAAGAATTTCAAGTTGGGTTATGATTGCAAAAAATCTATACAGTATTTCGCCTGTTGCTTTCTTTAATAATCTGCTACTCCAGAACTGGGAAACTAGACCACTGCGGCAGCACTACAAATGTGTCATAAAATCTGAACAATCTTCATCGATGCCCCCTCTCCAAATACATGTACCATACAACATCATTTATTATGATGCCAAATACGAAAGTAGATCTGAATTGGCCAACCACTTTAGGAACACTCAGGTCAAGCAGAAAGACATTCGCATAATGCAGGATTTCATAGGTTGAGTCCCTAAGAAAGAAAGCCTATAAGGCTTCCCTCCAAAGCTTTAGCTGCAAAGCACTGGGTAAAAAGTACTGATATTACATCTGTGATGGGTAACATATTGGCTTAATGCATTCGATTTTTTTGACAACAGTTATTGCCATTAAATTCTTAACACTGCATGGGTCTCAAGAAGAAATTCTTTTTGTTTTTACATTTGTTAAAAAAAAAAACAAATCCATGTGAATGTGGAAAACAAGGAGCTTTTTAACAGATCAAGTTACAACTTAAGGCAGAAAAACAGCGAGAGAATCAAGGAGTAAAGTGAGAAATATCATAATGATATCTTGCTTTATAAGGGGAACATTTAGAAAAGATTCAGCTACTCACGTTGGGTTGATAAAGCCCCCACTCGCATGAGAAGATAAAAGGACGCCCAGTTGCATTGAGAGCACGTGACATGTTAATGAAACCTGAGGAAAGAACAATAATAATCATGTCACTGTACACAACTGAACTCCATGCTCACTAGAACTGAAACCTGCCACAAATTATTTACCAGAAGTCCGCTGGAATAAACCAAACAGATGCTCACATAAGACTGTTTGGGAAATGAATATACTAACTTTGTCACATGCCTTTGTTCGAACATTTAAAAAAAAAGTCGTTGGTATGATCAGACATAAACAGGCAAAATATAACATATGACAACCACAATATTCCAATTTAAAAATGGAAAATCGACACAATTCCAAAAAGCAGTGTTTCATGGATCAAAGGCATCATAAATAATTTTTGAATAATCTTCCTTTTCAAAAGTATCTCAGAAACTTGGTCCTGGCAACAACAGCAAGATCTAGGCCTATGAACTGCATGCCACCTCCTGATTTTTATTTCCGAGAGGAACGTTAAAGGAGGGATTCTATTTGAAAATTGTAATACAAATGATATCTCTAGGATGTCCTAACACTTTTCTTTACCCTCTGGGAACAAGGTGGGGCCCAAATTGTGGCAACCATCCATCTTGACATAGTCGACGCCCCATTCAGCATAAGTTTGAGCATCTGTTTCAATGTGACCCCAAATTCCAGGGAAGCCATCACATGTCTCAGTGCCCATGTCTTGGTATATGCCGAGCTTCAGTCCTTTGGCATGGACCTGCGGAAGTAAATATGAGGATCATGGGATCAAAGAGCCATCTGTTTTCAACCAACCAGCACTCTTCTGACTGAATGATGCACATGCTCACAAACAGACTAGACAAGATCCACGAAATGGACTCTAACATTTAAGTTAAATCGTTCCGCTGTGTTTCAAATTCAAGGATACATTCTGAAATTGAAAGGTCAGATCAGGTCTCTCATCTGACTCAGTAAAATCCACAAACAGCAAGGAGCATGTTCCATCCAGAATTATTGTATCACAGTTTGATAAACTCTAATCAAACACATCATGTAAGACAATGATGGTTGAACTAGTCTGGGACAGGTAGCTATCCTCATCAAGGTTAGCCTGCTGATGAGGTTGCTTTCAGTAGCTGCACATACGACGATGTAAGGATAAAAAATAACAGGAAGACAGCATCGTAAGTTGTTGCGATGGACGTTTGATATTAGCTTGGGAATATTCATGCAGAATCAATAAGAACATAATGTCAACCAACCCCCAAGTTCAATCAAAGAACTTCAAGTAGTTGAATTTTGTCAAAATGCTTATTTGTTACAGAAGAACCTGACAAAATTAAGCTATCAGTAATGGACTGAAGACACTTGAGGATATCCACGCATTGCCTTCACAAATATTTTGTTAGGGACAGATCAAGGTTCTTACATAATCTGCCAAATTCTTTATTCCACTTGGGAACCTCTTGGGGTCTGGCTGTAGACGGCCCTGGGCATCTCTCTCCCTTGACATCCAGCAGTCGTCCAAGTTGATATACTCATATCCTGCATCTTTGTAGCCTCCTGCTGCTACAATGTCAGCCATTTGAATGAAAAGCTGCTCACTTCAAGAAATCAAATCCTTGTAATGAGTAGGCATTCTGACAACATTTAACTGAAAGCAAGGTCACGTTTAAGCTCCTAACTTTCGTTTTGTACATTTCATCTGTACCTAACTTTGAAGTTAAGCCCACTGATGTCTTAAAGTTTCAAAACGTATACCTTGCAATCCACTCCGAGCGGAAAGGAGGGCATGTTTTTTTTTGGTACTTACTGTAGCATGGGATGCACAGGTACAAGTATATGCGCGTTTGACACGGAGCACGCTGAGTACGTGTAACTAATTCATTCCTGCATGTATGGTCTTTGCGTAAATGCAGAACGCGTGCAAGAACGTGCTTGTAACCACTTGTCTTTCCTTTGCCGATTGGGGGTGCACTTCAGCTCAGGAAGGATACGCTTAAAGCAGAATTAGTCAGAGCAGTTGATTTGATCTTTGAGTGATGAGTCGACCTTACTGCACAATTTGTTGATAATTTCGCCATCAGTCAATCACCTTTTCTTTTCAATACACATTTAAGACAGACTTTTTAAAAAAAGATAGGAAACATTAGAGATTTACGTTGTACCAGGATCACTGATCGCTCAGTGTGATCTGGCAGGTAGATCGTGTCCACCATTTACAAAGTGCTAATGAAAGCCAACATTGAAAGAATATGTGATTTAGCATGGCAGAGAGTGTCAGTGGGTAAGTCCAATGTAAGTAGAAGGATGGGGCTTTAAAGAGATCAATTGCATTCTGTCTCATATCTCACAGTTCTTTGCAGCCTATTTTTGCAGCTTCGCTGAATGGTAAGTAACTTGATCAGCACTTCCAAATGAAATATCAGGGATTCTAACAGCATCATTTGTTGACCACTGTACAGATACAGCATCTAATAACACAGCAACTGAAAAAGGAATGGAACTTTATCTGGTCTCATACGTAATCTATGTTGGGCGCGATCTGACAATCAGCATGATGGCGCAATCGCATTGCATTACCGGTTGATCCTGTATGAAATCTCCGTCTATAATTCCCTTTCTTGAAACAATCTTCCAAAATTGTGTATAAGAAAGAAAATGCTATCATCTAAAGGTGAAAACACTGACAGATCACACAACAAGGTCAAGCATTCGTGCAGAGATTGACCAACAACACTACCTGACCACTACCACTTGACATGTGGCTGGCTTATTTTGTGGCTACAGATTAAGATTTTAATATTCAGTGTCTCAAACTGAACAGCCACATGACTAATGCCCAATATAAACAAGGCTAAACATCATACTCTGCCAGTCGAAAAACTGATGCGCCATTTTGAGAGACATTTTTTTTACCTGATACAATTATGAGGGTCCTTGTCACAGTCCACATTGCAGCGGAATCTCTCCCATGGATTCCAGCCCATGGGAGGGGTGCGAGCCAAACCATTGTCTAAACTGTACCCTGCTGGCACAGCCAGTGATATGCTTACAAACAGCAAGACGATTCTCATCGTGTCAATCTGTTATGAATGGTAAGGGAAAAAATAAGAGTTAGGTGGTTTCATGGAGTTTATTATTGTTATGGGGATTGTATGTATTTGGGGATTCCCATTTTTTGCTCATTTTGATCTTGTAAAACCGGTCATTCCCCCCAAAAACCAAAGACAACGTTCTCTTTAATTTATTGCACTGACCCTATTTTTTGAAAATTTTGAATCGTTAAATTGTGTAAAAATGTGACTTTTTACTATGCATGTAATGACGCGTCGTGTAACCATGGTAACACTCACAATTTCCCTCAAGCTGAAAACCCTGCCCTCTTCTCACATCAACCCTACACTTATTGAGCATGATGCAGTAGTCATCTACCAAGATAAATCTAAAAACTAATCATGGGTCTCCCTTCTATGTTCTATAGTAATAGCAGCATATACAATCCCCCATACGTCTTACGTAACGCCTATATGATGTACATATTATTAACACTAGGCCTGTAACTTTGTAAGCTTAGTTACTCTGAAGGGTAATCACTAAAAAATGCATTAGACTCTAGAGAAATAGCCAACAAAAAGACCTTATGTTGGCACCCAATCAGCCGTAGAAACAGCACTGCAAATTGCTCCTACTGCTGTTCTGGGACCACTTGAAATCACCCCCAAGTTGTGGACTCGGCTCACGTGCACAAGTGCTACTCCGCTAAGAAACTGGCAGCAGGCGCAGGCCTACTTGGTGAAAATGTAGTCTTGAGGGCGCTGTACACTGTGCACCATAAATTTCATTCAATCGACTTTGTGTACTGCATATAGCCGGCCATCAGTTGTGCACTTTGTTTGCAAAGTTACGAACATTTGTCTTTTGAACATCTTTGATGTTCCTGTAACCATTGCAACAGAATGAATAAAGTGAAAACCAGTTATTGATGACAACATGGCTAGCACCAGTGGATTTGAGGCCTCGGCTGCTAATGTGCTGAAGAGAGCCGTGGAGATGGACGGGAAGTCACGCTTTACTGAAGCATTAGTGTGCTACCAGGAAGGACTGAATCTGCTCATGGAGGTCTTAAAAGGTTAAGGAGGAAAATGAACCAGTCCTATTTGTAATATCGTGGACATCATCTATGTAGCTAAGACCAGGGAGTATTTATTAAGAGCAACATGTCTAGGAATATAATCAGGCTGTGGTTAGAGTTTCTCTGACAGTTTTTAAGAGTTCTTATCGATACTAACTAAGTTTTCCCTGTAGTGGTTTATCAGCCATCATATGATACAGCAAAAAAAGTGACTAAAAGGTCAAATTAATCTGGGAAAATATGGAAGCATGTACGGTACTGAGAAAAGGCTTAATGTCCATGATGGTATAGTCACGAGATCCCTTATTTTGCCACTTACCATGCTTACTGTGAAAACTCATCAGACTTGAAAATGGATGGTGAAATTAGGGACCTGGCGACCATATGGTCATGGTGGTTAAGATTTTTCAGACCAGTTTGATAGGGTTTGTACATGCGGTGTGAAGTGATGTCTATGTATGGAGCTGTTTCCTTTTTGAATTTTTGTTTTACTTTTTAGGCTATTGTAAGCTGCTGGATAATGTTCGCAGATCTGTGCTATCGCCCAATCTTTGTGTGATCTGTCAATCTTAATGTATGATTTGCCGATAATTTTCCCATTAGCCAATTGCTTTCTAATTTGCAGTTGATTGTTTGAAAAGGGCAATGTCGAAAGCACAATGATTAGTTCTCATGTCAACTGTTCCAGTTTCACATTTTCACTTGTATTTAATTTCCACAAAATGGCATCAAGATGATACAAAAATGCCAGAAGGATGCAGAAAATATGTTTTCTCTTTCTGCTCTATTTCTGCTGGCAGTGACAACAGATGAGGCTAAGAAACGAGCGTTGCGTACTCGCCTGAGTGACTACATGGACAGAGCAGAGAAAATAAAGCAGCACGTTGAGAAAGAAAAAGATGGTAAAGACCCTTGCTGGCTTTGTATCTTCTCTTGAAGAAATGGATAGGTTTTTTCACTCACTCGGGAAATGCCATTTTCTGAGCACCTACTGGTGCATGCTTGTTACACAATTTATAAGTTTTTCTGTGATCCTGATTATTTGATGTGCATTCACTGCGTGGACACTTGTAACTTATCCCAAACCCCATACATTTTTGGAGGAAACCTATGTAACTTCAGTGTCTGCCACTTTAGCAGGATCTCAATGGTTCATTGTTTGTCTTTCAATGGGTATCTACAAGTAGAAGCAGCATAATTACTTTTTACTGGCCCCCTCCCCAGGGTTGTACAGTGGACGACAAGATGCAATAATTACAAATGCTATTTCATTATGTGTACCTTTAATTTGGCCTGTTTGTATGCATGTATACTGAAGAACAAATAGCCTTTACACAGACCTTTGAATTGGTTTATTTTGTTTGAATGTAATGCCTCTTGACTTTTTCCAAAATTTTCCCAGGCAGGGATCTGACTACTTTTATTCATAAGTGGTTATTACTCAATTCGAAATTCTCCCGTGATCCCGATGATTATCCCAACCTCTATACTTTTTTGCAGGAAACCTTACCAACTACAAAGTCTGACTGCTGAAATATTCTTGCATTCCAGCCGGCAAATATCACGAGCAAATTCACATTGCTGCGGGCTCTACGCAAAACAGCTACCGCCGGGTCTTCGGCCGTTTTCTAGATGAGTTTGTGACGGAGGTGTACGTAGAAGACCCGTACATTCGGAGCCCCAGCCAGACCTACAACTTCCTGAGGCTGTGTGAGCTCCTGGTAGGGAGAGAGACAAAAGTCAAACGGATTACCTTGTTGACGGGGCGGGATGAGGTAAGAACAGGGCAGCTTTGCCATGCAGATACAACAGCAAAAGGGTTCAAATCCAATTAAAGAATCATCTCGGTAGTGGTTTCTTCTTCTTGTTGTCTAATTTTTTAATGGTCTTCTCAGCAGGGAGCCTAAAAAGTGGGGTATTCAGTTGGGGGGGGTTTCCTTCCCTCCAAGACGCGTTGTGATTTTTTGGGGGGGGGGATTGAAATTGCCAGATTTTAGAAATGGTACTACACTCTCCTTTGGGAGGGAGGGCGGGAGTGAGTGAGACATCTTTTACGGATGAAAAAAAAGTCGACAGCTTCAGGAAAAAAATCCCATTTCGCCCCTACTCCACAACCCAAGACCTGCATACACCACTTCACATAACAGTCGCAGGTTTGTGGCTGGCTAGTTAAATCCTATTATCAAATGAATCTCATCAAGTTGGCATTATACTCTGCCATTGTCTCACCTTGCCTGACAGGCAATAACAGAGACATAATTTTCTTGAAATGCCTGGGGCAGTAAAGAAATCTTGAAATAGTGGTCTGTACCCCTTCTGAAAGTATAATCTGACACTGTGGAGGTCTTTCCAATAGTTGGTTTGGTTGATTCTTGTCGGCAAAGTTTTTTGGCAGTGAGCCAGTGCAATATTCCGACAGCATGCCCAAACTGAAGGGCACCAGAGGTCATTCAGACACTCATGCAATGTCTGCCCCATCAGCACAGCCGTACATGGACTTGCCCACGTGCTTTGTTCCCAAGTAACCTTGCTTTTTTTGAAATATCAAACTTCTTCATTTCAATTGGGTATTAATTATGCATCATTATGTAGTGCCTACATCACTGAAGCAGTCAACCAAGGAGAAGCAATTAGAACAATCCTTTTTTGGTTTTTATTTTCTAAATAATTATTGCATTTTATTCCAATCAAATTGTGATCCAGTTTTACAGGATCATGCTAAATGTTAATTCATAATCATGTTGATTACAGGGAAATGCCCATCAGCAAGAGGCAAGGTTTGAAGAGATCAAAACAAGCCTGGCTGAGCATGGTGTAACGTTAGACATCAGGTACTCGTCCACACTACATGATAGGGAGATCAGGTACAATACATGTTGGTTGTGATGTTGAATTGATTTTTTTAGGAGTGTTGACAAGTCAGTTGCCATCGACCAGTGGACATTAACAGAAATACAGAGGACAAGTAGCAAGTCAGTTGCCATCAACCAGTGGACATTAACAGAAATACAGAGGACAAGTGGCAAGTCAGTTGCCATCGACCAGTGGACA